CGTTTTATCATTCGTCCGGACGCGAAGTGTGGGCGACTGCGACCTATCGAGGACGAGAGGAATATCGATCGGTGTCACGGCATCCCAAACCCGAGATCGAGCCACGCACGTGGGCGGAGGTTAACTCACGTGGGAGTAGTAGACTGGGCTTGACAGACAAAGGTAACATGAGTCAGCGGTGATGACGCTGATCGGGGGAGGGGGCGGAATACGCGTCCAGCGACAGTGGTCAGAGGTGGCGTTGACGATCGTGCCAACGGTTAGCCAAAATGCCAGGCGACTGACCAGCTCACCATATTTGTGATCCAATAAAGCGAACAGCTGGCCAACGCAGAAATCGTATCCATCGTTCTAGCCATTGTTGTAGTCCCTGTAGGTAAGTTTATTTTTGACTAAAGGCATTTTCATTTCCACGAGGAAAGCACAGGCCCTATGACCGACGATGGTCGTTTCCGATTGCAATCCTGTATGTCCGTAGTCATCAAACTCCGATTGCGGCGCTCAACCTCTCGCGACTGCTTGCACGTACGCACCAGAGTCCCCCTCAATGCAGTCTGGTCATTCACCTTGTTTTTTAAGAGAATTTTTAAGCGAATCTTGCTTTATTTACGACTAAACATCATAAATTTTCAGCGAAAAAAATGGCTCCATTCACGAAGAGCAAAGAACAGGTTAAGTTATGTGTCACGTTAAAATGTAAAAGGTCATGTAATACTCACAATTCAAGTTTTACACGGTATCCACGTCTACTATAGAGACAGATCAGATTTCAACTTCTTAATTTCCGCTTCTTCACACGTGAGGTAGCGCGCTAGGAATGGGAGTACCGAATATTGATATGCTGATGTGCGGCAAGACATATGACGGAAGCCTCGACGCTAGGGACGGCAAGACTTCGCAGTCATTAGTTCAGAGTGGAGAGGGTGGGTGACCTCATTAAAGATGCAATCAGCAAATTGCTTGACGGTTTTAAAGTGGCGTTGTACTATAATGTCAGCTAAAAAAAACATAGGAAACACCGGCAGCTGAAGAGAGCAT